TTTCCCGTGCCTTTCCCTCATCGAACATGCTCACTAACCACAAGACTCACAATAAAGTCAATATTTCTAGGACGAGCAAGCAGGTAATACTAAGTACACACTAACAATTGAATTCATTTGATTGATTCGGGGCCAGCCAGATGCTTCTCCATGTAGAGGCAAAATCTTAATTCTGGCACCGTTCGACCGAATTCGATTAAAATTCGGTTCATCATCATTCTCACCCTGGGTCAGGGTATAGGCCACGAACAAACACTTTCCGGCTTTCCCTATCATGGGCTAGCCTCTTGATATTCCATGCCTTCCCACTTTTCAGTACATCGATTTCTGTGACTCTTATCCAGGTTCCACGTGGTCTTCCCCTTGATCATATACCCTGTGGGTTCCAATCCAACAGTTTCCTTGTTAGGCAGCTGCCTGATTTCCTGAGAGTATGTCCATTCCATCTCCACCATCTTCTCTTTACCTCATCTCTGACTGGGTTCTGTCTTGTTCTCCCTAACACTTAGTTGTTGGTAACCCTGTCTGTCCATCTGATCCTCAATAACTTCCTTAGACAATACTAATTGTCCTAGAAAACCTGAATCCTCTTTATGCAAATATTAGATTTTTCTCCATGTAGTGTCAAAAACTACAATTCTAGCACAATTCGATTGAATTCGACTACATTCGATTGTGACCTTCAAAAATCAAACGAGATTCTTTTTCAAGACCACGAGTCGAATAGGTTGTACTGTGCCAAAATTGTAGTTTTTAGCTGTCCAAGACAGTAAAAATTCTGGCTGGCCTCGACTCAGTTCGACTGAATTCGATTAGCGGTGTGCGGTCGGTTGGCTTCTAATAGGGCCTAGTGCATGAGGTAATATTTTATCCAGGATCAAATCACCGTCAAAGCATTGAACCCCCCACAAAAGACGACCCAAACAGAATTATATGAGGCAGCGTGTTGAAATCAGGCGCCCGTCAATATAATGAAATCGAAGAAGACAGTATTTTTCTTCAAGTTTGGTAATTATTATCGAATTATTATTTTTTTAAAGTTTTTTTTTGTTGTTTTTTTTTTGGGGGGGGAGTGCCTCTGACTGTAGTGTCTTTAGGCCATTCCCAAAAGGGGGGGGGGGCATTTCTCGTTCAAGCACAGTAGAATTGTAAATGGGCTGATTCATGTCACGCTCATAACTGTGCCTGATCTACAACAGGGAACTGCTGCTTTTTCTTTCCTAATCCTTACTATTGTCATTTTCTTTTGTATGTTTGTCACACTCTTGTGACCTGCTATTTCCGGGGTGCCTTTATAGTCGAAGCAGACTTTGTGCTGTTGAAGCTAGAGGGGTGAGCAGAGTAAGTCTGATTCCCTGTAAGGACTTCTCTGTTGCATCCACCCCTTGGCGCTCATGTGACCTTATGCAGTTGCGAGCGCCGTAAAACCCTCTACTATAAAAAAGAAAAAACATTCATTTTAAAAGACATTGCACTGTTGATTTTACTTTAAAAACCGTTGATTAAAGGCACGCAAAATGTAAATTTTCAGTTTCCAAGGACTCTCAAGCTTTGGAAATCATCAAACTTTGGCTGCCATTTTCTGACTAATTTTACCTGGGAAACCAAGTGACTCCCACCTCCTTCAATCCCATATATCTAAACTCTCATTGAAGATAAATTTGGGGCATTTCTTTTATTCAAAACAAGACAAGAGCAGGCTGTAAACAGACGAGCGCCTGATTCCACCGCGTCGTGACATATACACGTTTGTCTTGTTTCGTCTTTATACCTCATAGAGACCTATTGATAATCAATTACTTTTTACTGATCAGTCTGTAGTCTATATTTTACTCGTTACTACCACGAAATGGACGTACTGCTTTATGTCATCGTTCTCCACTTATCTGGCGCCGGTGGTCTAGTGGTTATGCTCAAGGACTCTCAACAGTTGGGTTGCGGGTTCGAATCCAGTTAGGGGCCTGGCGTTGTGACCTTGGGATTGGTACTGTACATATAAATAAGGGAATGAGTGTCTGGCTATAGACAGTGAAAGATCTTATCAGTTTGTAAGTGTTTGAATGCACAATCAGCTGCTTGCAGTGTATGCTTCCCGGGAAGCCCAGAATATTTCTTGGTCTTCTAGGGTCTGCTGGGGTTATAATAGTTGTTAAGTGCATTAAGTATTATGTAGAGCGTGAATATGCGCTATATAAATGCAATTATGATTTTTATATCGACATTCTTCCCTTATCAGTCACACACTCACGCTAGCAGTAGACTTCGGCGTTGTTTCTGCCTGCTGATTCCTAAATGAGGTGTAGGTGCTTGGCGGGTACGCTTGTGTGGTTTGCTACTTCTTTACCATCAAACGTCTATTTTCTTTATCTGCTCTCCTCCTTTTTTGTATGAGTTATTCTCTTGTAATATTTGTAATCTTCTTCACTTTTATGACCTAATTGGGTTGCCAATGCCACAAAACATCACACCGCGCCTTCCTGTCGACACAACTGAGGTACTGGCAGCTGTGATGTAGCGGTTTTGTGCTTCGCCGTCATATTCATAAGACCCGAGTTCGATTCCCGTATGGATTATTATTTCAAAAATCAAGTGTATGATCCGTTTTTCCACTGGGATAATGTATCCCCTTAAGCCCGGTTGGGCCCTGACAGGCAGAATCGAATCCCACCTCCTCACCACCTTCACCTTCACCTTCACTTATCCCGTAGACTGGATGTCCGTCGGGGCGCTTTTGAAGATTCTACCTCCAGCTTCCTCCACTCCTTCCGGTCGTCAGCTTTCCTGGGCGTGTCTTTGAGGTCCAGGCCTGTCCATTCCTTGATGTTGTCCTCCCACCTCTTCTTCAGTCTGCCTCTGCTCCTTTTTTCCTGGACACTGCCTTGCAGGATCATCTTGGCAAGGCCGGATGAACAGATGATGTGTCCATACCATTGCAGTTTGTTTCCTCACCAGAGTGAGAAGGTCAGCATATTATTATGGTCCCATTTCATTTTTGATTCGTTGTTTGACTCCTAATTGATCTAAATTGTATCGATGGGGGCGTGAAAACACCTACATTAATAAAAAGAGAAAAATGAACAATTCAGGTTGTTCAAGAGGCCGTCTGCTTCGACCTTAATTGCAAACGTCAACCACTGATGAGTGGCACACAGGATCCCGGCAGACTGGCGGTAATATTCATTAGAAAAAACTCCTTCAAATGAGAATCGAACTCCTGTCTTTTATCTGCAACAGCAAAGGGTCTATCAAACCACAACGCTACAAACGTTAGCCGGAATACATTGATTTGTAGAAATACAATGAAGAGAAGGAAAAAAACGTCCATGACGAGGGAAGGGAGACAACTCATTATTATCAGTGGAAGCTTTTTTGTTTTGTAGCGTTTACGTCCCTTGAATGATTCACGGGCCCTTCCTTCCAAGAAATTTATGCCCGATTGTTGTTGTTGTTATTATTGTCGTTGTTGTTGTTGTTGTTGTTGTTGCGGTTGTTGTTTGTTCATGTTTATAACCTTACAACTTTGTGATCATCATCATCATCATCATCATCATCATCATCATCATCATCATCGTCATCACAATAATAATAATAA